ATCACGATGTCACCTGGTCAGCCCTAAAATGGATTTTCTTTTCTTTTTTTATTTAGGTTTTTGCTGTACGGCATGTATGCTCCCCAGAGACAGAGAGAGAGAGGAGAAAAATGAGAAATCACCCCATGGGGGCATGGCCATTCTGCAGTCCCTTCTCCATTCTCTCAGGATTTTAGGCATGTACACAAATGAGCTTTGTTTTTCAAGCTTCTGGGTCTAGGACTCAAGCTATGGAATCAGCTATGTGGGATCCAGTGCCTTAACCACCACTCTGCCTACTGCCCCTAACATGGAGCTCTTAACACCCATACCCCCATATCTGTGGTCAGTCTGCTCTGGAATATCATACATAAGAACTTAAGCAAGGGACCAGCAGTTAGCATAATGACTTTGTCACTGGACTCCCATGTAGTCAACCGCAGTTCGTGTCCCGGACCCGGTGGCTTAAAACTCACGCTGATGCGTGTGCGTGTGTGCCCAAGATCCCGAGAGGAGAATGGAGGAGAAGGGATTGTGGCGTGGCCAGAGAGGGTTTGTTGTCTTGGCCATACCCCCTGGGGGGTGATTTCTCGCTTTCTGTCTCTCTGTCCCTCTGTCTGTCTGGTGAGTGCACGCGCCCTATAGCAAAAACCTCTCCCCCCCCAAAAAAAGAACTTAAGCAAGAGTCTGGTATTCAGAAAGGATTCAATTGATGGAGGGTAAATTTTCTAGCTAACTTTGACTGTTAGAACATTCTTGGAACTTTTTTTTTTTAAGGTTTATTTCATTTTATTTATTATTATCGTTGTTGATTTTCAGTTTGACTAGAGAGAGAGAGGGAAAGTGAGAAAGCAAGCCACCAGGTCCAGATCCTGAACCGTGGTGGGCCATGTGGGCATCCAGCACCTTAACCATTATGCCACCTGCTGACCCCCTCATCTTTGGATCATCTTATTCTACTATTAGAGAAGGTAGAGAGGGGCCCGTAAGTGGCATGGTGGTTAAGGTACTGGATTCCCTCATGGCTGAGCACGGAGACCTGGAGGTTTGCTTTCTCACTTTCCCTTTCTCTCTCTCTGTCTTTCTCTGGTCAAAAAATAATAAGAAATAAAATTAAATAAATAAATGATTCTTAAAAGAAAGAAAGAAAAGCTAGGTTAGTGTGCGTGCATGTGTGCTCAGACTTCTGACAGTAGGAAGAGATAGAGAAGAGATCTCAGTGTGACCATGTCCCATTGAGGAGGGTGCTTTCTCTCTCTCCCTCTCTCTCTCTCTCTCTCTCTGGCAAGCCCACTTGTCCTCTGGGAAATTTTAAAAAAATAAATAAATAAAAAACAAGAATGGTTTCCGTGTAGCTTCCCTCTCACTTCTATGTTACACAGCCAAATGATTTATTTGGAGGCCTCAGTGTTACTGGAGACCAATGCTCTTGTTATGTGAGCTTTTTTTTCTTTTTTTTTTTTTTTTAAAGAATCACCTTATTCAACTTTATTTATCCATTAATTAATTAATTAATTTTATTTGACCTGAAAGGGACGGAGTGAGAAAAAAAGTGAGAAAGCAAACCACCAGACCTGGGACTCGAACCTCAGTCAGCCACGTGGTAGTTCAGCGCCTTTAACCACCACACCACCTGCCAGCCCATTATGTTAGATTTTGACAGGCCAATTCAATAGGATTGGGAATTGTTAAAACTTAAATGTTAGGAGATAGAAGAATGATGTTTAAATACAGATGGTCTAATTTGATTATTCAGATTCCATAGCCAGTCTTTTAAAATGTGTGAAACTAGGGCCGACAGGTGGCGTGGTGGTTAAGGTGCTGGACTCCAACATGGCTGACCACAGTTCTAGTCCTGGACCTGATGGCTTGCTTTCTCACCCTCTTGCTCTCACTCTCTCTGATCAAATTGAAGGATAATAATAAATAAAAATATTCTTTTAAAAATAAGTAAATAAATGAAACATGTGGGACTTCTGCAGAGCGCCCGCTGGACTCTACCCGGTGGCAACAGTCTAAGCACTCAGGCCCCCTCTGAATAAGCGCTCAACATTTGTTGGTGACTGCTTTGTTCAGGGTGCTGGCACTGAGATGACCCAAGTCACAGAAAGTGTCGGTCAGGATTCAAGCCCAGGACTGTCAGATTTCATAGCTTAAGTTCTTTAGTCGTACTTCATATCAGAATCCCAAGAGAGCAGAGGAGAAGGGACTGTGACGTGGCCACCCCCTCTGGGACGTGCAGTTTCTCACTTCCTCTCACTCTCGCTGTCTCCCTCCTGTGAGTGCATGTGCCCTGTGGCAAACATTTAAAAAAAAAGGATACATCATAAGTCATTCATTTGTAGGCCGGCTGGTAGCCTGGTGGTTAAGGTGGCTGGATCCCACATGACCCATTGCACAGTTTGAGTCCCCGACTCAGCAGGTGGAAACGTGGCCAAAATTTGAGAGGAAGTGGAGAAAGGATGGCAGTGTGGCCATCCCTCCTAGGGGAGGTGCCTTCTCACTTTCTCTCACCAAACGCCCTATAGCCAAAAAAATAAGTGAACACATACACACATATAAATAAATGGGCTTTTCCTTAGTTCTTCCTTACGAAGTCTGAAGCCAGAGCCTTTCTGCCTTAGACAGCCTTTAAAGGAGAGAGCAGCAGACACTTCCCCACAGCCCGAGAGGGTGTCGCGCAGGTTTTAGGAGGAGTAGGCCGGTCGCAGTGGGTTGGGACAGGCTCCATGGGCCCCAGGACCCATGCACACTGCAGTGGCCTCCACGCTGAGTCAGCAGGCGAGGAAGGCTGGGTTCGTTTTGCCTTTGGTTTGGCATTTAAAGCCCAGAAGTGGGCTTGCTCCTTCTTTGGTGTACATTTTTTCTTCTTCTTTTTTTTTTTTTCCCCACTTGTTTGCACAGGAAGTCTTCAAAGAATCTCAGACTAAACAGGAAGTGATCTGTTCCCACATAAGGGGGTAGTTAAGGAATGAGGACAGGCAGGAGAAGGAAAGGGGATGGCTGACCTGTGACCTGGCAGCCAGTTAGCTGTCTCCCCCAGTGAATTTTCTGTAGTGACCCCTACATCCTTCAGGTGCACGGGCTCTGCACTGTCCCAGTAAATCTCTAAGTTGGTCTCCTCGGCTTAGGGATGAAGCCGAACTACAGGAAGTGCTCCTGGCTCCATTTACCGTGCTCCTCTTTGCTTACCGTCGTCTTTTAGTAGGTATATTTTTTAAAGAATTATTTTATTTAACTCTATTTATTTCGGTTTGGCCAGAGAGGGACAGAGTGGAAGAGAGAAAGAGAAGTGAGAAACTAAGCCTCCACATCCGGGACTCAAACCATGGTCGACTATGTGGGAGTCCAGTGTCCTCAACCATCACGCCACCTGCTGGCCCCTTTAGTAGATATTTTAGTAGATGACCAAAATGTCAAGTGTATCCTCAGCATTAGAAATTTAGCATTCGTTAGGAGTAGGGTTTTCGCCAAATGAGCTTCAAAAGAAAAGGACTGAGTAATTTGGGAGCAGGCTATCTCAATGCATCTTGGTAAAGTAGAATATTGTAAAGTGTAAGATAAATAGCATTTGAAACTTCCTGGTATGTAACGAGTTCTCCGAAAGTTGCGGTTGCTGCTTCATGAGTATGGTGTCTTTGGGGAAAGGCTAGACCATGAATTATTATATTCATCTTGTTTGATTAGTCGGCTTTAGCTTTTCCTGATGTGTAAGCCATGGGCTAATGTATCAAAGGGGTTCTCATTTGGAGCTATCGGCTGTCGTAGAATACATGTTCTCTCTCTCTTTTTTTTTTTTTTGAAGTGGTTTTTGCTATAGGGCGCATGCGCTCGCCAGAAAGAGAGAGAGAGACAGAAAGCGAGAAATCACCTCCCCAGGGGGGATGGCCACGCCACAACCCCTTCTCCATTCTCCTCTGGGGATCTTGGGCACGCATGCACACGTGCCCAGCGTGAGTTTTAAGCCACCAGGTCTGGGATGCGACCGTGGTTGACTACGTGGGAGTCCAGCAACATAACCATTACGCCAGCTGTTGGTCCCCATTCTATCTCTTTTTTAGGAAAGGGAAAATTGCTAGTTTTTTTAGAGGTTTTTGCCATAGGGTACCTATGGTTGGGGGGTGGGGTGGGGAGAGACAGAGATATTGAGAGAGAATGTGAGAAAACAACCCCCAGGAGGGATGGCCACACTGCAGTCCCTTTTCCTCCATTCTCCTCCTGGCATCTTGGGCATGCATGTACACATGCCCAGCGTGACTTTCAAGCCATTTTCAAGTACTCAAACCATATTAGGCTATGTGGTCCAGCGACATAACCACTATGCCACCTGCTGGCCCTTTGTATCTTTTTAATATTTTAGTCATGTGGGACCAGCAAGTGGCACAGTGGTTGAGGCACTGGACTCCCACATGGCCAACCATGGTTCAAGTCCTGGACCTGGCACTTGAAACTCAGGCCAGGCATATGTACATGCATGTCCAGAATCCTGAGAGAAGAATGGAGAAGGGATTGCATCGTGGCCATTCCTTCTGGGGGGTGATTTTTTATGTTCTCTTTGTCTCTCTGGCAATCCCCCATACCCTATAGCAAAAATCTCTCTTAAAAAAATATTTTTTCGCCGTCTTTGAGTATGTCACGTGTGTTGTCTGTACAGGGTGTTTGGAAAACTTCCTGTTTGCTCCAGCGCATCCCTAAAAGAGGATGCAGATAGTCATCTTACTGTTACTTTATTAAATAAACATCGCCGGCTTCTTATAAACATCTTTGTTCTGATAATGTGGTGTCACACTCAAGGTGTGACTATGCAGCAGCTTTCTGGCATCTTGTGGGTATTTGGAGGCCAGAAGATACGAAGTTAGCGAGATGGGAAAATGGGTCTCTTTATCCTGTTAACCTCCTCCCAGCAGTTTCCCCTTTCCACGAGGGGAACTCCACTGGGAGTTCCCTCTGGAAGCCTCCCTGAGGTTGCCGCATGTCAATCCTTGCTTTCTTACTGAGCTTCCGCTTCTTTTCCTGCACAGAAACCAAAGCCCAAACCCCGGCCATCCATCACGAAGGCGACCTGGGAGAGTAACTATTTCGGAGTGCCTTTAACAACCGTCGTGACTCCAGAGAAGCCGATCCCCATTTTTATTGAAAGATGTATTGAGTACATCGAAGCCACAGGTAAGCGTTCCCTCGGAGCAGTGTCCCCAGGGTGCTTCTGAAGCCATCAGGGACTCTGGCATCAGCCGTCTGATGTGAGATGCAGGTGGGTGAGGATCTGCATAACCCTGGCCGCCGTTGGACTTTCAGAGCCTCCATTTTTATGCATTTTGAGGCTGTCCTATGGCGTTTACTAGACCTTGGCATGAGTGGAGGCAGCTCTGTCCTAGGACTGCAGCTGTGGCTAGCTGGCCACTTTTTCTGTGCCCGCCCCGCTCTAAACCCTGCCATGCGCACAGTGCCCTGTTTGCTCATTGCTTGTCTGTGGGCTGCCCCGCCAATCTGCCGGGTACTGTACTGGACACGCCACATGTTCTGGCTTAGTGAGTGAATAATGTATGTACTTCTGAAGCACTTAGCATGCCTCAGGTGCCTGGAACTCAGGTGTTGATAGAATCGCTTTTCTTGAGTGCAAGAGCAGTTAGGATGCCCGGATCTCTTCTGGTCGTGCAGCTGCATTTCAGCTCCACCGACAGCTTGGGTGTCCTCGCAAAGACAGTCTTAAACTTCCCTGCGTTGTGCTTGCAGTGACAACATTTTACTTGTGTTAAAGCCATTTCAAGCCCCCACATGTCTCTTTGTCCTCTTACTTTCATGCTGCTGTGTCCTTTGGTTTTCTCCTGGTTGCTTTCAGAACTGATGACCTTTGGGAAGGTAGGGTAACAGGCATACCCGGTGTGGATTCCTGAGTGGGAATAGTTGCTCTAGTAGGCGCAGGCCCAGCGGCGGTAGCACACAGCCAGCATCGCTGCTTGGGCGGCTGCGAGCCATACGGGAGGCCCAGGATCCGAACCTGGGCCTCCCTGAACATGCTGGCTCCATTGTGCATGCCGTCTTTCTAGCTGACTGGGAGGCTGGGCCAGGAGGGTCGCGTACAGTGAGACCCTGTCATAAAGAGCCATCCCATCCCAGTCTCTCTCTTGTCCTCTCTCTCATAAAGGGCAGAAAGGATATAGGTTTAAACTGATAGAGAAGAAGGTAGGCCTCCCCGTGTCTTCAGCCTCCCCGTGCGTTCAGCCTCCCTGTGTCCTGTAGCCTCCCCGTGTGTTCGTGTTCTGATTCTGGTGTTATCTGTAACGGTGTTGAGGGTTATGTGGTGCGGCTAGCCAGCTAGACTCAGCCAATCGTTCTCAGCACTATCATGTGAAGCTGAGTGTCAGCGTTAATATTACTTAGGATGTGTCCAGTAAGGGAAGCCCACCGGAAACTGGGCACCCCAGGGTTAAATCTCACCAGGCTCTTTGCATAATCACAGCAGACCTGCAGCCCTGTTTAGCCCAGTCTGTCCCCAAAGCCTTTCTCATTGTCCATCTTCTGACCCTGGTTTCACACCATTTCTACCTGGCGCTCTCAGACGAGGACAGAGCCAGCAGGAGGCAGCTTGAGTGGCTGAAGCCTCTCTTTGTTGCCAGGGCACTTCAGGGAGGGTATGTCATTTTCATGAGGAGATATAAAAGCCTCTTTCTCAACGTATTATTTTGAAATAATTTCCTATTTGTAGGGAAGTTACAATAATTGAAAGTTGTAACAAATTGTAAGTAATAAAAATTCCCAGTTTCCTTAAATGTTAACATTTTATCACATTTGTTTTTTTATCATTCTCTGTTTCTTTCTGTGTATCTGTTTTATCTCTTCTGTATATAAAATGTTGAAAATTGTGGATGTGGTATACCTTTACTTCTTAATACTTCCACAGAATTTCCTTAGGACAGCCCCTTAAGCAATGATCAAAAGTAAGAAATTAACATTGATCTAGTGGGAATCTATCTGTAATCCAGTCTGTTTACATTTTATTTCATCAGTTGATCCCCTAGCCAGGACCTAATCTTGGACATGTTACATTTACTTGTCAGATGTCTTCAGTCTTTTTTTTTTTTTAAGAATTGTTTGTATCATTATTATTATTATTATTATTTTAATTTGACTGGGGAGGTGGGAGTGAGGAAGTAAGCCACCGGGTCCGGGACTTTAACTGTGATCGGCCATGTGGGAGTCCAGTGCCCCCAACCGCCACGCCACTTGCTGGCCCCTCTTCAATCTTTTCTTTTTTAATTGTTGGGGATTATGTGCTCGTCACAGGGAGAAAGTGGGGGAAAGGGCGCTAAAGAGATGTCTTTTTCTTTCTCTCCGTCCAGCTAGCGCCCATCCCCTGTAGCAAAAATCTCTTTGAAAAAAGAGAGAAAATACCTCTCAGTGGAGCACCGCCACGCTACAGTCCCCTCTCTCCCATTCCTCTGCCCGGCTGGGATCTGGGGCACTCATACACACATGCCCAGTGTGTGTTTCACGTTCCTGGGGCAGAGATTTGAACCGTGAGGGCCATGCGTGATCCATGTGATCCATAGGACCAGCCCTCTTTAGTCTTGTTTAGCTCCTACCACTATACGATACTATGCTCCTCAGAATTGTATTGTACTTTGAATAATTTCTACTATTGCAATAGATGCAATTCTCTCATAGTACAGGGTAACTTGTTAAAGAAACATCCAGCTTTCACTGTTTTTAGAAACATGTTTATTTAAGTAGAATATTCATTCCAGTCATCTATTTTTTACAATTAACTGTCAACTTAGTTTAGGTACTTTTATTTCCATGATGTAAGGCTATGTTTAAAATCTCTTCTGGAATTAAACCCAGAAATATTCACGTGCACAATTTATAATACAATTTTTGAGAGCTTATAGGTCACTGAAGTCCCATCCATGAAATTCATAAGGGACACATGGGCCAGAGGTTTAGGGAAAACAAAGAAAGAAAGAAACAAACAAAAACAACCGTCCCTGAAAATCTTCCTTGGGCTTTTGGAATTTAAGCTCGAATGTCTATAACTCTGCTGCCCAGCTGTTTCTCCTCTCTGAATTCTCTTTCCAATACTGCTGGTACTATTACTTTTCCTCTTGCCTTCTCGAGCAGCCTTGAATAAAATGAAGGAAAGCAGGGGAAAATACTTCTAGTAATTAAACGGTCAGCTATTTATAAGTTTCATAACACATAGGCATATTGTATTCTAAATACATCGATAAAAGGGGGGAAATTGTGGGTTTTTTTAAACTCTATCAACAAATTCACATAGACTTTTGCTAGTACATTTTTAAGACCTCTTATTTAATAGAACTAGGTTGCATGTAACTTTTTAGTAGCATAATTAAATGAAACAAAGCAAATCCATACACTCTTATTTGCACACATCTAACTGGGAAATGAGGGAGAAATTTAATGAGAAAACAAGGCAAACATATTTATAATAATTACAGAAAAGACTTGGTAGATTTCACTACATAAAATTTATTTTTTTTAATAAAAAATGTGTAACAATGGCACCTACTCTTAAACCAATTAATTTATGAAACCTTTCTCTTTTGTCAAACACACATTGGCATTGAAACAGTTTAAAGAAATGTAATGGCTATCTACAAAAAATTACTTTTGATTGTTGTATTCACCCCATACTTTATGTGTCTACATGTTAAAAAAATGAAAATTTTCAACACTGTATATTCAGCAATTAAAAATAAGTAGTTTTCCCACTGCTATGGTTTTCACAAAGTACTTATAGTTTCAAATTAAAAAAAAAAATAACGTACTAGGATAAGTCTGCTGTGTCTTTTAACAGCATTTTTTATTTAGAATAATTAAGCAGGCATGCAAGCAACTTTTCTTGTTGTCACATACCTGTACTGAGGGAAGATTACACCCATTTGACAGAAAAATCGCAATACATATATTGCAGTAAGCTCAAAACAATGTTAAAAAGACCAGTGTGAGTGGCACACAAAAATTACTTCCTTATAAATTATTAACTGGAATTCTTTGATCATGAAGTAGGCACAAGGAGATCCAGTCCTTAGGGCTTTGCTCTCTGGAAGAACACCTGCAAATCAAGTATTACTGCAGTTAGTACTAATGTCAGAGGAAAGGCTCTGCACCTGAAGAATGGCTCCAAGTTACTGCATGTTAGCAACCCTCATAAAGCACAACAGATATTTAAAACAGTTTACATACTTCATATAAATCCACACATAATCCAAGATAAGAATTATTTCCTCTGGAGAATCTGATGAAGTCTCTCTATAACTCACAGTGATGACATTCCAACTGGGAAAGTTATGAAGATGCAGCATTACCTCTAATGCTATGAGATCCAAATGGTTAGAGGAAAATGCTCAACACCTTTTTACTGACACACTACTGTCAAAATTAACACTGGGAAGTTAAATTTTGAGGAAGAAACAAATCAAAGCTGACGATAGGCATTCCAACTATTTAAAAAGTACTTTCAATTCAAAATGAACGACTCTGAAGGAGTTGGGCAGAGGCTGTGTTAGACGCTGGCCCAGTCTTACATACTGCCACCCCCGGTGAGGTACATGTTCACTGAGCACAGAGATACTAAGCAGTAGGCGTAAGCGTCTTCCCCACCCCCCCCAAAGAATTACTTTATTTAACTTCATTCATTCATTCATTCAGAGGGACAGAGAGAGGGAGAGAAAGTGAGAAAGCAAGCCACCCTGGGACTTGAACTGCAGTCGGCCATGTGGGAGTCCAGTGCCCCCAACCGCCACGCCACTTGCTGGCCCCTCTTCAATCTTTTCTTTTTTAATTGTTGGGGATTATGTGCTCGTCACAGGGAGAAAGTGGGGGAAAGGGCGCTAAAGAGAAAATACTGGGACCAGCAGATGGGGTAATGGTTATGTTGTTGGACTCCCACGTAGCAGACCATGGTTCAAGTCCCTGGTCCAGCAGCTTAAAACTCTTGCCGGGCATATGTGCATGTGAACCCAAAATCCTGAGAGGAGAATGGAGGAGAAGGGATCGTGGCATGGCCATCTCCCCTGGGGGTTGATTTCTCACTTTCTGTGTCTATTTCTTTCTCTCCGTCCAGCTAGCGCACATCCCCTGTAGCAAAAATCTCTTTGAAAAAAGAGAGAAAATACCTCTCAGTGGAGCACCGCCACGCTACA